ATGCCAACTGCTGGTCCCAAGTTTTTGTGTTGTTTTATTTTTTGCTATATGGCATGTACACTAGCAGGAGAGAGACATAGAAAGAGAGAGAGGGGGAGTGAGAAACCACCTCCTAAGGGAGGGGAAACCTTCTTCTCCATTCTCCTCCTGGGATTTGGGGCATGTGTATACAAACGCCTTATGTATTTTCAGGCTGCCAGGTCAAGGACTAGAAATGCAAGTCTGCACTATGTGATCCAGTGCCTTAAACATGCCCCCTAAATTTATTTTTATTAAGGCATATCACACAGGCTTCAGTTCCAAACATTACCACTTACTACTTATGTATTACTTAGAAGAGCCAATAATATTGTATGGGGCATACTTACACTAAATAAACATTTGCTATTGAACTGAAATTCAATCTAACTGTGTGCCTGTATTTTTATTTGCTAAATTTTATAACCCCAAAAGGAAGATAAAAATTATTTTGGAGGAAACATACAACAAACATTTTAATAATTATATCTTATAATTGAAAAATAAATGGATCTGCAGTCAGTCCCCTAGAAATGCAGGGCCAACCTGTACATGATTTCATGCATGTGGAGAGAAAACAAACAAAAACTACCACCTGTCCTAAATCTATTGCTCTTCACATATTCCTCATTCTGATATAAAGCTCATTAGGAATAGACTCTTAAGAGATGCCTATTATTTACAGGCAGACCCGAATACAAAAGCATAGGGGTACTGTGAATTACTGCCCTATCCTCCAAATTCTACCCAATTCATAACATTTTAAAAAACATACCCTTATCTCTGAATCAAAGTCAATTGAACCAACAGGATAGCACAATCAAAATATTTTTTTCTGGAGATTTGCAGATTGAACCATTCCCATTTTGGTGGGGAGTGGTAATTGCCCCTGAAATGTGCAAACCCATGACCATTTGACTGGGCCTCCTCTTGGCCATATGCTGTCTTTTAGAAATGAGAAAAGGCACCCTTTCTAGGACAACTCAGCCCCGAGGGTTCACAGCTTGGTTAGCAGAACCAGGACTGTATTTTAACCTCTTCAGCTGGATACCCTTGTGCAGTGAGCAACCTGCACACTGTATGAAGCAGCCTTGCCACTTTATGCCATGCAAAATAAAAACAAGAACACAGGAAGAAGTGCAAATGAGAGAAAAAGTAAGGATACGGCTGCCTCCTTGATGTTTTTCCATTTCTAAATTCTACCTCTTTGAGACAAAGGGTATTCCTCTCATTGTGACATGTAAAATATTTTTGAATTTTTTTAAATCAATGCTTCCATTCTGTTTAAAGGAGATGAAACTCATACCTGTCACTTAGAACCAAAAATTGTAATTATTACATGAATACTATCTTTAAGGTAATGTCTTAGGAGTCATTGTTAGAGTCCAATAAGATTCTGGCAATAACCTAGATTGAATTGACATTTGAACACAAAAATGCCTTCCTTTTATTTCTGGGTTGATTTCTTGAAATCCCTTCCAGAGTCTGCGTCTCTAAGGGTTGCAGAGACTGACAAATCCTTCTTGAATAGAGTGAATAAAAAGGATTGCTATCAATTGCATCCAGAATGAATTTAATTTTCATTTACTCCTTGCATATAATGGGTTTCTCAGGCTGGACAATAAGCTGTGTTGATATAAGATGACTTTTCTTGCTTTGGAACAATGTGTAAACATAAAATTGGAGAGTTCGTATAAAAAGAAAGAATTGGAAACCTTTGTGCAAAAGTAGCTTAATGACAGGAAAGAAACAAATGGAAACAAGGATAAACAAGAAGAATGAAACCACTTAATGTTGTAAGACCTCTCTAAGCAGTAACTTATACCTTTGCAAAGCCTCTGTTTCACAGTTTTATTGTACCATAGTGATTATATTTACCCTTTATTTTTCTCATGAAGTGTGGCATCTTGAGTGTTCACAGAGCCATTTTCACATACATACTTACTTTCCCTCCAGATAGAACAGGGAGTTGCTTCTTCTTGCCTTTATCATTATGCATGAAAGGCTGTCACTTGAGTACATGATTCATTAAAGACATCTTTTGTAACCATGGGTTTACAAGCATTCATTTCAAATGACATCTTGCAGAGGATGTCCCTGCCATTGTTTTCAGTGGTAAGACAGTTTTTTTTATTACAGTTACAAACATAGTTTTGGTCTCAATAAATACTTGGCTGATAGAGAAATGACCATTTAGCGAATCTAAGCTAAGAAATCTAGAATGAGTGAAAGTTCTCAGTATCTGTTTCCTTGTACTTATATTTAATTTCATTCTATATCAACAAAGAAAAATCCCCAGAGAGTAAACTTCTTAAGCTCATTAGATAGACTTTTTAATTTTTTCTACTATATATTGACAAATTTTTAAAAATTCTTATCTAGTGATTATCTAATATATACACATCTTGGCAGTATTTTATACATTAAATTCTGAGCAGGTTTTGGAACTTAAGGGACCTGGATTAAATGACAGCTCTATCTACCTCCTGGTAGGTGTAACCTTACAAAAGCAAATATAACCATTAATTGACTCTTGTTTCCTCAAATGTACAACAGGTATAATAAGCTTACTTCATAAGATTATTGAAAAGATTAAAAATGATGTATGCAACATGATTAGCAAAGTATTTGGTACACAGTAGATGCCAAATAAATAACAGTTATTATAGAAGGGATGTAGATAAGGTTGGAAGTTTATAATATTGTGGGGTCTCATTTTTTATGTGGGAGGTGACTAATGGGAAAGACAGAAGATGGGAGAAGCAGGCTGATGGCTCAGAACAATAGACCAATTGGTGAAATGGTCAGTTAAGAGATCATGAAGATCACTGAGCACCAAGATTGTAAAGATTTCTCCATGACAAGGGTACAAAAAAGCCTTCAAAAATTTCATGGAAAATTAACATTATGAGACAGAATGCATGTATTTAGAAAGTTGGGGCTATCTAAATAAACTTGTACTTTAATTCCATTTTCCATGAACTTTTTGAAGTCCCCCTGTATAAATGGGAAGGAACAAACACAAATGGGAAGATGAGAGAAGTGCTTTATACTTTATATTTCATAGAATTCAGTATGAGAGAGCTTATAACACAGAATCTAAATTTGATGGAAATTGGGAATATACGAAAAGAGAGTAAACATTTTTATTCCCAAGGATTAAACTGTAATAAGCGGGGAAGTGCTATCATTAACAGAAATTGAGACTTTAGAAAGGATATATTTTGGAAGCAAATCAAGAAGTGGGAAATCAGAATGAGTGATTCAGAAGAGCTGCTGGTGCTAGAGATCATAATGTGGAAGGTATCCAGATGGACGTAATAAACAAGGGCTCTGGCAATATTACCTGAAGTAGTGAGAAAGCCCTACATTAAAAAACAAGAAGATGAAGGAGGAGAAGAAGAATAAGAGGAACAGAAGGAAGAGGAGGGAGAGAAAGAAGAAGAGTAGGAAGAAGAAGAATGAGGAAGAACAAGGAAGAATAATGAACAAAGAAAACTGTTCTTACAGTAGAAAAATGCTGAGAAAAAGTATCAATGAAATCCAACCAAGATGGTTTCAAGAAAAGGTGGTAAATTAATAGTAGTAAAAAAATACCAGAAAAAATAATACTGAGAAAGTCAAATGAAGAAATTTTCAAGAAAAGGTATGTATATGTTTGGTCTTTGTCCTCAGTTCCCGGAACGTAACTTCTGAAACTCTTGGAATGTCCAGACTTAAACAGAAGGCTGCAGTAGCTACTGGTGCAACTTGTATGAATGTGAATCTATCTTTTACACATCTTTCTTTTTGTTTGTTTATTAAGAGAGCTAAGCACCTTCAATAGTATCCCTTGCCATAACTGAGCCCCTCCTTAGCCTGCTCTGCCAGCCAGGATGGTGGGCATACACACATACCACTGACTTGTACCAACTGCCCAACGAGTCACTCTGATCTCCCATATGGCCTCCACATTGCAGCATGGTGCTCTTCCATTGCAAAGCACAGCTGGGTCCTATTCTTTACATTTCTAAAGAACATGCAATCCTGGCTTTACAGCCTGCTGGAAGAGTCTGGATTGATGATCAGGAAGCAGAGCTGGGACGTGTGCGTAGGCGTTGAAATGGGCTTGGAATCTAAGAAACATGTTTGCCTCTACCACTGGCATATCTACTGAGAATTTAGGAGTTTATCCTTCTCTTATCCCTTTACACTTACTTCATATTTGTAAAACCTAACCTAGATTAACTGAGATTTTTTTAAAAAAAGGAACAAAACTGAGGAATGGAAGTACCAGAGCCAGACAAAAGTCAAAGCCAGAAATGAGGCTTAAAAGGGAGAAAGGAAAGACAACTCAGTCAAGCTTCTACAGTAGGAGGTGATGTTACAGAAGCAGTGCATTTAGAAAACAAGTCAACAATCTCTGGAAAACTCCTTGATAGCTAATGTTATTTGACACTTAGGGATCTGGGCAGCTAAAGAAGAAGGAAATTCAACTCGCTTTCCCTTAAAGACAACCACTACTTTTGTAGTCCGTTTGCTCTTCTCACACTGCTCCTTTACATACCTTTTTATTTTTTTATTTCTTTTTAATCTGCCAGAGGGTGAGTGTGATCATCAAAGAGAGGCAAAGAGAGAGAGAAAAAGAAAGAAAGAGCAAGTGACAAAGTAACCCACATGAGGAATGGTCACACAGCAATCCCTTCTCCATTTCTCCCTCCTTGCAGGATTTTGGACACTCACACACATACGCATGTCTTTTAAGTCTCTGGGTCTGGAACTCAAATCACATGGTTGTCTATGTAAGATCCAACCAATTTAACCACCACACCATTGGTTGGCCCTCATATTGCTCTTTTAAAGATCAACATAACCTAATGGCCAAATATTTTCAGCTTTACCATCTGAAAAGTATAGTAGGAGGGTCCAGCTATGGCACATAAAAAATTAATAAAATACAGAATATATATTGATTAAAAATATAGGCTTCAGGCTCAGCCTACCTGGGTTTGACTCCTCATCCGGTCACTTCCTTTGGACGCATGTCTGTATCCATTTCCTCAACTGTAAACTGAAGGTAGTAGAAAATTTTCTCAAATAGTTGTGAGTCATAGTAAACACTTGACAAATGCTATCTATTATTACTAATAACTTAGACATGCTTGAATTTAAAACATGCATTGGTTTTTGTTTCTAGTGGAATATAAAGTTATTTAAACATTTTTTAAATGCCCCAGTTTTCTCATCCATTAAATGAGAAGTATGATATATTTTACAGGATTATGATGAAACTATGTCATAAAAAGAATAGTTATTTCTATTCCCTAGCCTATTTCTCTACATAAAAAAAGAAATCTCAAGGAAGAAACCTCAGAGCTTACAAATTCTAAAGTGTATTTTAATTTTGGAATCTACATGTATTTTCAATACACAGGTTTATCTAAATTTAAAACTCATATCTCTTTATAGCACACATCACTTTTATTGCACAAGTATTTGGTGAAGGAAAAATCAGAAAATAGTGGAAAAATCCATTTATATTCTTATCTCCATTGATAAGTATAGTTAATATTTAGAAAGTTTTGCTTAGAGAGTTTAATATCTATCTTTCTTTTCAAACAACCAGACAAAAGATAAGTTAAAATATGTAAATTCTTAAGTAACTCTAATGATTAGTTAATATAGTGTGACTGACGTTTTTCTATGCCCATATTTTCTTACAGCATAATTTAATACAATAATATCTGCATATATTTCACTACATGACTATGCTGGTATTTGTGAAACAACTTTTGAGGTTTATATTGTTGAACTCAAAATATCTTCTTGCTGTTAATAAAGCACTACAGGGACCAGCAGTTAGTGTAATGGCTATGTCGCTGGACTCCCACGTAGTCGACCATGGTTCGAGTCCCAGACCCAGTGGCTTAAACTCACGCCGGGCGCGTGTACGTGCATGCCCAAGATTCCGAGAGGAGAATGGAGGAGAAGGGATTGTGGCGTGGCCATCCCCTCTGGGGTGGGGGGTAATTTCTCACTTTCTATCTCTCTGTCTCTCTCTGTCTGGCGAGCACACGCGCCCTATAGCAAAACCTCTCCGAAAAAAAGAAAAAAAAAAAAAAGGCACTACAAATTCATCACAGTGGAGAGAATACCATCCTGACAGAATCCCAGTGTTTTAGAAGAAAGTTAGAGGTGAGGTATTTATAGGATTTGGGATCTTGCCTCAAGTGATTTAAGGAAGCCTTTCAAGAAGGGGAATTGATTAAAAATTGGGCAAAGTTCGTAATATTATATTTTTAAATTGGTGGGTACAGTAAAGTAAATCTTTATAACTAAACCAATGAATAAGATAGTTGCCCAGGTAGCAGACTACTGTCTCTAATAATTTGATCTGAAGGAAGTTTCCAAAGCAAACAGCAAATTTAGTTACTGAATTATAGTCTTATATTTCCTGGGCAGAGTTTAAAAACAACAAAAAAATCAGTCACGCTAACATAGGTGGTCTACAGATTTATCTAACTCATATTAGCACAGATGGTTTCAATAAGTGTGTTTCTTACTTCAATATCAATTTCCCAAATAAGTTTTACATATTCATTTATCTTTACCTTCACCACCACACCTAAACTTAAGCTATCATTTTTTTCTTACCTTTCCTTTTAAGTTAATCATCTTAAACTGCTAGAATTCATTTTCCACGGCAGTCAGTATGAATTTTATAACACAGAAATGTCACATATGTTCTTAAGTCTTTGCAGTGTTTGTGCAACATTCACCACATAGTTTTAAGTGCTCCACGATATCCTTGCTTGCCCACCCCTACAGACTCATTTCGCTCCCTGTTCCTTAACCACACTGGGCCTCTTTTGGTTCCTTGAATCATCATATTCCATCTACTAGATGCTTTTCCCAGTACTTTTCCGTTGTGGTAATTAATTCCAACTCATCCTTTGAATCTCACTTTGCTCATTCTTTCTCTGAAAAGTATTCTGTGCCTCCACCAGGAAAAATATTAAAAATTCCTATCATTCCCTATATTATTCCTTAAATTTTTAAACAAATAACTGACTTAGTTCCTCTTTGCCCAACTCAAGAGGGAATCCAATAAAAGTGAAGATGTATCTCTCTCTACATCTCAGACTGCCTAGACTAATCCACATACATACACGGATACACACGCATGCACACATACAGTATATAGAATAAATGCAAAATCATCCTGGTGAAGGGGTACATTTGTTTTCTGTTGCTGTATTCTTTGATAATCCATCCACCTTAATTGTCTACACCATCAAAAACACCTTTCACTCTTGAGAGAACACCTTCCTTGTTAAACAAGCCAAGTAGTTGTGAAAAAGAGGTGTTGCTCACAAGTAAGCTACTAATTGAGGCTTTTATATTTTCACAGATACAATACATGAAACAGAAAAGCATTTAAAAGGAGAAGGCTTGAAAAAGAAATATGCATCACCTTTTCTAATGGTACTTCTACTGCTTTTAGAACCTCCAAAATCAATTTCCTCTATTGAAAGGGAATTGTGAATGTGTGTGAGAGGGCAGGGAGTGAGAAGGGTAAACTGGTTCTTTTAGATGTCTGACTTGAGCTAGACAGAAACTTGTTCTGATAGGAAATGGGTCATTTAACAATATAGCTAGCTTTCCACTACCACACTAATGGAAGCTAGCATAATATGGAATAACAAAACATGGCAATAACACAAATCGCAAATATGCATTCATTTACTGTCATTTTACTCCTAAGTGTTGAGTTATGATGATAACTTGCATTTGTGTAGGGTTTTTGACCTTAAGAGTTTTTCCACATACTTTGTTTTAGCTCAGGAAGGCTAATTACAGAAACAATTAGGATCCTCAAAATTCAGTTCCTTAAAGAACAAAGACTTTACTTCTTTGGTGCAGGGCGGGTTTCCGCATGAACAACAGCTCTGCTCTATCAAGTTTCTCAGGACCCGTAGCTGACCACGGCTCTGCAGTTTCCCACGTGATACTTACAAGACTGCCCTAGGAAATGCCAACCCGATTATTCCGAAACCATTCAGATCATTACAGAACATGCATGAGAGGATTCCATGGACCAAGTGTGGAAGTGGCACATATCACTTCTGCTCACATTCCTTTGCCAAAAACTTAATCTCAAGGCAGGAAAATCTGGTGGATGTACTGAGCTCCAAGTCTATTTCTGTCCCAAAAGGAAACAGATCTTGGTGAGTAGGTTTAGCCACAGGCATTATATCATTAGGGAAATAGATTTGTACATTATTATTTATGATAGAGAGCACGTGTGTGTGTGTGTGCAGTTAACGGGGCAGGGCCAGATACTCTTGTCAGGTATTAATAATACCTAAATAATAATACATTAGCTGGACCAGTACTATAATTAGGTTTGGTGACAATAGACTAAGAAAATATGAAGATTTTTCAAAAGGTTCATGGAAAATGCATATTGTAAACAAACTATGCATGGGTTTCCTTTATTTGTATCAAAAGAAATGCGTGCTTTAATTTATTTTCCTATAGATTTTTGGAAGTCCTCTTGTATTCTGCAATCTATCTATCTTGAATATACTTTGTATTATCTACCTGATTAATAGTATGTAATGAATACTTAGCATTGGTCTGTACATGATGAAGAAATGGTTTTCAACTTTTGACAAATATAACTTAAAGTCTAAGCCATTGGTTTTTAGAAAAAAATTCGAAAGTGAAAAATGATGAGAGAGAGGCTGTCCTCTAAAACTCAATGAATTAAAAGTAGTGGCACAGGAATAGAGAAAATGGATAAATAGAACATAAAATATAATGAAGTATTCCCATGTAAAGAAGAAATTACAATAAATTTAAAAAGGTCTATTCTTTTTTCCCATCCTGTCAGAGAGTACATGTATCATACCCGCTATGCCACAGTCCACTCTCCTTCACTTCTCCCTTTGAGGTTTTGGGCAGGAGTGCATGCACGCACACACACACCACACACACACACTATGGTCCTCTGAAGACACTGGGTGAGAGACTCAAATGCACAATCAGCTGTGAGACCTAGCTGCCCCAACCACCACACCATCACCTGGCTCGAGGTCTTTCAAATAAGTGGGAAAAAGACCAGCAGTTGGTGTAATGGCTATGTTGCTGGACTCCCACGTAGTTGACCACGGTTCGCGTCCCGGACCCAGTGGCTTAAACTCATGCTGGGCACACGTGTGTGTGCGTCCAAGATCCCAAGAGGAGAATGGAGGAGAAGGGATTGAGGGGTGGCCATCCCCCTGGGGGGTGGGGTGATTTCTCGCTTTCTGTCTCTCTGTTTCTCTCTGTCTGGCTGGCAAGCGCACGTGCCCTATCGCAAAAACCTCTTCAAAAAAAAAAAAAAGAATAACTGGGAAAGGATGAGCTATGTAGTTAATGCATTGGGAATACTATCTACTCATTTGAGAAAAAAAATAATAAAAGTAGATTAGTGCCTCATGCCATTAACAAAAATAAATTTCAGATAGGTTAAATATTAATTATAGTAAGAGTATTAGGAAATTTAGAAAAATGTATTTAGAACCTTGGTGATAAGAAAGGCATCTTAAATAGGATATAAGAGACAGGAACAGATCATGAAGTGCATTTTAAAACATGAAGTCTTGAGTTTGTATTTCAAGATAACCAGAGAAGTGACTGAAATATCTTAGCAAAGGAAATATAGAGTTGGATGTTTTCAAAAGCTGATTCTCTCAGCTGTGTGGAGGAGATGAAAGTGAACACAAGTATTAACGCAGTTAGAAGGCTGGTTCAGCAAACTGAGAGAAGGTGTTGTTTGGTCTAGAAGACCAATGATGAGAAATGGACAGAAGTAGATAGATAATGGGTCAATGGAAAAGTCACGACATATATTTACATGAAAAAAATGCACCATAATGTTTCCAACAACCCAGTCACTCTCAAAGTGTTTAAGAGTTAGGATATGAGATGGGGACAAGAGATGACTATGAAACTAAGCAGGTCCCAGTCCTGGAAATGCCCTGTAGGGCACACTAAAGATTTTGGACTTTTTTCCTAAGGAAATATGGGGAGCTAATACTAACATCTTCATTGAGAAAAGACAATATGTTTTTCTTTTTTCTTTTTAGAGAGATTTTTACTATAAGGCACATGCGCTCTCCAGAGACACAGAGACAGACAGAGACACAAAGTGAGAAGTCACCCTCCAGAGGGGATGGTCACGCTGCAATCCCTTCTCCTCCATTCTCCTCTTGGGATTTTGGGCATGCACACATATACACCTAACCTGAGTTTTACCCATCGGTCCAAGATTCAAACCTCAGACAGCCATGTGGGAGTCCAGTACCTTAACCACTATGCCACCTGCTGACTCCAACAATAAATTTCTTTAGTGCAGTTGTCCTGGAGAAGGGTGACCTAAATCCCAAACCCCCATGAGATGCAATGGTGGACTAAGGCATGTACAGTGGAATGCAAGAAGGTATGCAGACTGATGACTGACTATGGGAGTAAGGAAGAGGGGCAATGATAGGTGGTCCCAAATTTCACTGTGATATATAGGAGGCGAAGGTAGAGAACATGCAGATTAACTTTAGAGATGTCAAACTAAAGGTGGAATCTCCAAGAGGAAATTTCCAGCAGAGACTAGGCAACATATTTCTGAAACTCAGTCAGAGGAGCTCCGCCAGGTGCACAGAATCCAGAGTCACCAGCATTTGCCATCTGCTAATGGTGTTGGTACTTCCACTCCCATTCTCTGGAATCACAGGCCTGTGACCACACCCCAGATCTGTACCTCTCTCCCAGTTCAGTGCATTTAGCCCTGTTTGCTTATGATAGCCTGTTCTTGTGACTTTTCTGCAGGGGCACAGCCTGGACCCACTGGAACAATTTAGCCTGCAAAAAAAATGAAGATTTGACCCTATCCCATGGGAGTTTGTGTCCCTTTTCACCTTCCCAGGCTGGTGGTCGTTGACTGACTAGTGAAGCAATTGGGAAGCCCTTGCATTATGGGGAACAAACCTGGGTATAAAACATACTCCAGAGCTCCCCAAAGATTAGGCAAAGCTAGAATTTTGCTTGAATGTACATGCTAAATTTATATCCTATTTCCTCTACCTCTCCGTGAACAAAGAATACCTCCTTGACCAAGCTTTGGCTAGCTCCTCTAATTCTCTTCCCTACTCTGGATTTTGAAATTCAAAGTCCGCTTTGCAGAGTCTGTTGTGTTTCGTTTTTCTTTGCCATAGGGTGTGTGCACTCGCCAGAGAGACAGAGAGAGGGAAGATAAGATATCACCTCATGGGGGCGATGGTCATACTGCAAATCCTTCTCCTGCATTCTCTTCTAGGGATTTCAGCCATGTCATGGAGTTTTAGCAAGAATCCTACTATGTTGGTTTATACTGAATTCCCCACCCTTAATATCTCATCTCTGGGCTCTTTATCCTTCAGGACTCTTGCTGGAGGCTGGCCAAGTGATTTGCTATCACCTAGGGATGGTGGAGAAAAGTGCCTCCAAATCTGCAGTGAAGAATGATTACAACACAGTCTCTGCTAAAATTTCCACAGGAATCAACTACTTACTGATGGATTCTGCACTTCAGGGAGCTATGGAAATAACATCTCTTCATTATTTCTTGTCTGGTAACTCCCTAGCAGGGGAAATCAATGAATGTTAATATCTTCTTTGTTTACTTAAGTATTAGAAATGTGTTCCTTCTTTCTTTTATTTAAGACAGGATCTCACCAAGGTGATCTTCCTACCTAAGCCTCTAGCAGGGACTACAGGTGTGAGCCACCAAGCTGGTGTCTTTTCAGGCTCACTGAGGTGCCCAGTACAGGCTCAAGCTTGGGATCCTCCTACTCTGCCTCCCAAGTCACTGAGATTACAAGCACCTGCCTTGCCTTCAGGTTGGACTAAAATTTAACCCGGGGCCTCCCATGTGGTCCCAGATCTCAATAGAACACAGTGCTTTAGCAGAGCCTGTCACCATACCTGGGTTTAAACTTGTCACTTCTGAGTGAGACTATTGAAATCTTGCAATTTTAAATTCCAACTGACCAAATGAGAGAAAGGAAATACTTAGTAATTCTACATTCATTGAACTCCATCCTGCTCCTTGCTTAAAAACTCCCCCTGCCCTTGTCAAAGTGGAGTCCAATTTCGCTCTCCCCCCACTGCAAGAACTCAGACCTGTCGCAGTGGTCCTTATCTCTACAGCTCCCCAACCCCTTGAATAAAGTAGACCTAACCATCTTTACTAGTTTAATGAATAATTTTTTTTTAACAACTCTCTCTCTTAACCCCTCACCTCTTTTTAGTCATGAAAGCAGTCAGCCAAGCATGAATGATGAAATGTAAATAAATATACATTTGGCTCTACACTGAAGAATGACATCCAGCACTAGTCTGTTTATGAGCTCCCACCCTATATTTTTAAAATTTAATTCTATTTCATAGCTATTTCTAAAAGGTTGAAGTAGGACCACAGGAAAAAATCTTTGACCTAATTGCTATCTTAAGGAGATTCAAATTTCAAAAATAACTGTAAATATCTGTTTAAATGAGAGAGATTTTAATTTGTCCAAAATATAAAACAGAGCAAATAAAGATTAAGCAGTGTTTGTGTAAAAAATGCACATGTTTATTGTCTCATAATAGATCAATATTAAGCCCAGTAATGCTTCCTCTATCGTACTGCACAATTACCATAACCATTTACAATTATTGGTAGTTTAAATAACTGTAATTATGTAGACTTCATTACTTGAACATTCAAAAAACAATTTTCTTCCTAGAGATGTAAAATGTTATATTACTTTAATTTATTGTATTAATTTCACCTTTTTTGTAGACTCAGTAAAGAATATTATATTATTTCATCATAACTTGGAACCATATTGCTAAATATTTAAGATACATGTATTAAACAATTTTAGCGAAGACTAAATTGGTTTTCTTTTTAATTTGTAGTCTAATTATTAATATTTAGACACCTCATTTCTTTTCTTTATGTAGTTTTGGTATCATCTTTTTCTGTATCACAATGTTTTTCAAAGTCATTCTTATTTTTTATGGGTGGAAATCAAAACACGTACACACTGCAATTGTGTTATAGTAAGAGCTTAATTTCATGAACATTTTCAGTGCTTCAGTAAACACTCGGGCATTGGTAGAACAGTTTTTTCCCAGATCAGGAAACAAGGAAACTAGGATTATCTGTAACTGTTGTCTAGATAATTTATTCATTATTAGCAGTTTCTGGGAACTATTTGCAACAACGCCTTTAAATCTTAGATTCTCCATAACTGCAAGTTCTCTATCTCCCACATGAGAAAATTCAGGTCCATTGAGGTAATATTAACGATGAGCAAATTGCCAATAGGATTGCAAGGTGTTTAGGGTCCTGCCCTGTAGGACAAAAGGCAGTACTCTTAAAAAGACTGTTCTGCTTCTAAATTTGCAATTTCATAGTTTATTCAAGACGTAGAACTGGAAGAAAGGCCCAGAAACGGTTTCAGCATCTAGTGACAATAACCCTATTCCACACATAATGCATAACCCCCCCCTCCATTTCCTGAAACTAGTGGCCCATACGCTAAAGACAGCCCAAGTGTGGAACTGTTCACTGGGTGTCCATCTAGGCCTGCACGGAGCACACTCCTGTGCTGCTCTCCCGCCGGATCTTTGCGCGTGCAAAGCACACTCGACCTCTCCTTTCGCTTTTCCCTTTGCAAAGCGAAACGTGTTCATGTGATGCGAGTGACGTCAGCCCCCACCAGGTCGCGTGACCGACACCCAACCTTCCTCCCACCCCGCTCCTGTCGCCGGAGCGTCAAGTCTCGCGAGAACTCGCCTTACTATCAGAACTTACTGAGGCGACAGGGGAGTTCCTCAGAAGAGCAGGGAAGGTGTGGCCCAGTGGCGGAGTTCTTGCTTCTATTCTGTTCACAGTCAAGGCCGAAGCAAAGGCCTTTGGGCATTGCCAGAGTCTGAGCAATCCGGCCTGGAACACCGCGGGGGAGGTGGCCGGGGAGGTGGCAGTCAAACCTGAAGTGAAACGTGGCGCCCGGCCGCCGTCGCCCCTCGCTGAAGGGACCGCGGGGGCGCCTG